GAGGTGATGTGTGGACTCGAACAAGCCATCTGATGTCACTGTAGAAATGCCAGATGTTATAAAATCATTTATTTCACATGTATTTGTCAACATTCCTGGGCTGAATGTGTTCCATGGAGTTCCACAGACTGAATGAAGTGCCAGTGGTTGACATTTTCATTTAAAAAAAATGTTCCAGCTATAATGGTACGGTGAATCTTTAGGTTTTTCTTCCTTCTAGTGGTGACTACTGGAAACTGCAGACACACTAACCATTTGTTCAGAATGACAACAGCACAATTTTAATCAAGAAACAAATACAATGTGAACATACAAATTCAATCTAGTTACTACATAACTAACTTGTGGTTAAGGAATTCATTACATTGTTATTTTTTGTTAACTGTTTTAAAATGGTAATACAGTGGAGGCTTTCTACTACTTTATATCATTACTCTGACATGTGTTTGGAGGTGGCAAATGTTTATGGTGTAATGACTGAAATGTCTCCTATTGTCTGTAGGAAGCCGCTACGAATGACTAGTTGTTAAATGTTTGAATTTTTGGATAAGCTATCAAGTCATGTTTCACAATATTTGTGCTGCAAACAGTAAAAAAGCAAAAGAGTCAACCTCTGGATTCACCTGCCAACAAGAGGAGTCACGCAGCTCTGCTGATGAGCTGACAGACTTGGTGTGTCCAGGTGCAGCAGATTGAGTCCGTTGGTGTTCCTCGGTGGTCAGACAGAGCTGCTGGAAGGCAGGAAGGTCCCATACAATCAGGGCCACAACTGAGGGCACTGCATCAGATGTGGGTACTCTTTCATGAGTGATCACTTCTGGCTTTGGCAGATCTGTTTTTCATTGTGGTTTGAGCATGACATGTTTTGTTTAAGTCTGAAAGGTTTTATAGCCTAAAATTCAAGTTCAGAAAAACTTAAATCTTGCAACTGGGAAATTTAAGGGACCTAAATAGAATGACAAATTCGCTGCTGAATGATAGAGATGAAGTTGTACAGTGTAAAGGGTAAATGTCACTGCATACGTACAGTGTAAAACAGAACAACGTTCCATTTGCTAGTGCTACTATCAGCAGCTGCTGGTTAATCAGTACATAAGGTCGTGTGTGTGTGTGTGTGTTGTGTGTACGTACTTGTACAGCTACCTTTATCAAGACCAGGTTAAATTTCAAACAGACAGAACACAGACCACTTGGCAGATCCTCACTTTGTCACACCTCTTCAGTAGGTGGTGTACTGTTTGAAAGTTCACACTTGGATTTAAGCCAATGTTCAAAATTAGGTTGAGGTTAAGGTACAATTGTCCTCTGAAGTGGTGGAAACTTGTGTGTATGTGTGTGTGTGTGTGTGCGTGTGTGTGTGCACATGCGTGTGTGTAAGACACACAGGCCATAACAAATGTAATACTAAATATAATGATTTCCCTTTCAAACATAAAGATCTGAGGTTGCATTTCTAATCTTACATTTGTGCCTTGACAAAAAAGTTGCAGCTTTGTGTCTTTTTAGATCCATCCTCCTTGTGTGATATGTGTGAGAAATGTAAATACAGTTTCTCTGAAATGATATCAGACTCAGAGTTTAATGTTTATTTGCACAATCCTAAGTGCTTTGGTACGACCCTGGACCTCTCATATTGTTTTTTGAAGACATTTATTCTCCCATCAAAGAGGCCTCCCCAGTGTTAACAGAATGGTGGGGAGACACATTGTCTGGTCCCACTTTCTCCTCTGTGATGATTTGCTTTTCTGCTAACTTTTTCAGCGTTTCTTTTTTATAATTGTTAAAAGAATATATAGATTTTTTAAAAAGCAAAAAAAAAATCATGAAATGCTTTAAAAGCCAGTCTCCCACCCACCTTCAATCCACACCAGTTTGCCTACAGAGCCAACAGTTCAACAGAGGTTACCATCACCTCTGGTCTTCACAGTGCTCTGACCCACCTTGGACACCAGGGGAACAATGTGAGGATGCTTTTCATGGACTTTAGCTCTGCCTGTACCACTACCATCCCCAAGTCTCTAAACTGAGTGACTGAGGACTTTCACACCCCACCTGCCACTGTAACAAGAACTTTCTAACCAACTGCCTCAAGACTGTCAGAATAGATAAATACCTCTCCTCCACATCACCTCAGCACTGGCTCCCCACAGGGCTGTGTGCTGAGACCCATCATCTACTCACTGTACATATATGACTGTGCCCCCATCCATAACTCCAACACCATCATTAAGTTCATTGACAACAAGACTATGGTTGGACTTATCTCAGGACGAGACACGTCCACCTACAGAGATGAATTCTAAAAACAGCTGGTGTGGTGTTCAGGGAATACTGGTGCTGAACTCCATAAAAACAAAATAACTTTCAGACTTTCTTAGAGACCGGGCAGTCCCTGATTCACTAATTATCAACAGGGAATGTGTGGAAACAGTCCCTGTCTTCAGGTTCCTGGACACGTATATTGATGAAGATCTCTCCTGGACTATCAACACCAAAGCAGCAGTAAAAAAGGAACAGCAGTGACTCCACTTCCTGCAGATCCTCAGAAAAAACAGCCTGCAGGAAAAGCTGATAGCATCTTTTTGCTGCTGCTCTGTCGAGAATGTGCTGGTATACTGTATGACTGTGCTTTTTGCCAGCTGCTCAGCAGCAGACAGGAGAGCCCTCCAGAGGATCAGCAACACCACCCAGTGGATCACCGGCTGCCTCTTTATTTAGCTCTCGCTGCCTCAGTCGAGCAACAAACATTCTTAAGGACCAATCCCATCGTCATCCTGGACACCATCTGTCTGACCCACTACCCTTAGGTACACCTCAGGTCCATCAAATCACAGACAAACAAACTGAAAAACAGCTTCTACCCCAGAGCCATAAGAAAACTGAATTGAACTGAACTATTCTATTATGAGCTAATGATTGATTGATCCTTTCGTTTAAAAAACCCAAATGAAAGATTGATCATGACCACCATCTTGAGGGTCATTTCAGTCATGAGCTAAAACATCATGTACACCGAGCCTCATTTTCTTTACACTGAACATGTATTTATTTTAAGAGGTTAATAAGAGCCCAGTGGGCATGAACACTGGTCAGTGGAACACAAACAACTTAGAAAGAAAAAACTGCCATCTTGTCTCATCAGTTGCCAAAACAAAGGAAAGTGAGCGGGTTGGCTGGCCCTGTGGTTTAATCATCTGGGCTGCATTGATACTCTGAGCTTCCTATCGTCTTCTTCTTTTACTGCTTCTTCTTGTAGTCCTCCAGGTGAGCCAGTACCCAGCCAGAGGGACCCAGGATGGTCACAAACAGGACTGTCATAGCTATCGCCTGCTCCTGTTAGACAAACACACACAAGCAGATGGTTCATGTTATTGTACTTGGCTGCAAAACCAAAAAGTTTTACTTGTATAAAGCCCTTAAATGATACATTGAATAGAGAACCTGGTAACAAGGCTACCGTGTACAGCTAAGGTGAGTGCACCCCTGTGCAATATTACTTAAATGCCAAATGACTCTGAATTGTATCACCTCCCAATAATTGCATTATTTCTAAGCTAAACAGTAGACTATTTCCTCTTAACAATGAAGAACAGATACTTTAGAAAAACTAGATTTGAAATATCTAAAATACAGGCCCCAAAGTTAGTGCAAGAAATGTGAATATACATGTGATTACTGTCATAGAAGTTAGAAAATCTGTGACCAATGAAGCCAAAATAACAAACAACAGGGTAGCTGTATCAAAACTAAAGATTTTTCTAAAATAATGGCATTTCCAGAGACAAACACAAGGTACTTGTGCTTTGATAAGAACATGCCCACTCAGTGAAGAAACCCAGCCAACTACGCCATCTACTGACAAGTTTAATAGCCTGACATGTTGCTCCTGGTGTCCCCACCTCCTGAGATACTAAAGTCAGGGGGGTAATCAGAGCCAGTGTATCAGTGTGGTTATCAAGTGGGCACCTCCCTTCACTGTGTCTTTAAGTTCGACCCACAACACCTCAGAGAGGCTCAGCAGTTCGCTCTGGCATCCTACTGGCACTTGTTTTACTGTGCTTGGGATGACCAGACACCTGCCACTCATAACAATCATTTCTTTCTCTGTCTTTTGGTACAGATGTTGTTGACTGTTTAGAAAACTATTTTGAAATGTGTCATTTGTTGTCAAAAACTGCTGTTAATTATTGTTTAGTTTACCATGAATATGGTTATAAAATGAGCCTTAGACACCAGAACTTTGGACCTATGGGCTGTGTCTGTTTGCATTTCAGTGTCATGGCTCCACACAGTAAAGAAATGCCAGAGAAAATGTTCCGATTGTGAGAGTTGACAAAGATGGAAAAGGATACACAAAGATCGGTGGCCAGCTAAGAAATCAGTAAGACAGCAGTGATCAGGAGGTACAGACAGAGCCACAGTGGTCGACCTACTAAAATGACACCATGGACGGTGTACTGTTTGCACAATCTAGCTCCGAAAAACAGATTCAGAAAGTGCTTCAGACTTGACATTGAGGTTATCAACGGAAATCTGAGTTTCTGTTTCAGACAGCATGAAGAACATAGCATGGAATGGTTAGTGTCTAGGAAAAGCTTTGTTAATATTATACAGTGGTACAGTTTTCAGCTATATGACATGTAAGTTATATTGTACAGGGGTTCTCACTTCTGTGGTATAAATAGTGCACACACATTAGTCTGATTGCAACACAGACAAACATGCAATACACCTAAAATAGATAGATAGATAGATAGATAGATAGATAGATAGATAGATAGATAGATAGATAGATAGATAGACAGACAGATAGAGCTTCTTTAAAATAAGAAATTTTGCAACTGGGCCTAAGCTGCCCCAGTTTTCATACTTCAGCCTGGTTAAAATGAGTCTGCAGATTTAATCAAGACACAAATTATCTCACTTAATTACTAAGCCACTGGAAGGAAATGGATGGAACCGAAAATATAATGGAACGAAGTAAGTAAAATTAGTGTGAGTGAGTCCTACCAGAGTGACGGATTATGTGTCAAGGTGAGCACAAACACATGTACAATGTTTGTTGCAACGTTTCTTCTGTGCCACCCTGACCTGTCCTACATCAAGGTCGTTCACTTGGAACCTGTTCAGATCTGAGCGCATGTTCAACTTTACCTTCTTCACTACATTAGACTTTAGCAAACCTTCAACCTGCTGGAAAACACTCATAAAAAAAACACACGTTGAGCTGCAGCTCCTGTGGTCGCGGCTGCAGTGTGATATTGTGCGCGCTGGCTGAGATGTGTACGTGTTGGAATTAAACGGAATCATGGCGAGATACTGACGCACTTATCGAAAGTGTTAAAATAAAGTCGGTCTTGAAGTCGTGGTCGAATCAGTGTGCACGTCAAACAGCAGATTTAACTCTTATAATACACATCCTTCATAAATCTTTTAGCAGTACAAAAGCAACAACATATAAAGTTTGACGCAGATAAAGGGAAAGTCCGCCCTGTGCGCGGGACTGGGTGTCATATCAGGCCAAGATGCGCGGCGACGCGGAAAACTCAGCATAAACAACAATGAAAGCGAGCTAACGGCCACTACCGTGTGTCAGCCAGCCGGGGGCCGGGGGCCGGGGCCCGGGCTGCCGGAGCCCTGCAGGCTGCTGGACCGACCAGAAGAAACTCACCCCTGCACTGATGCTGTGTTTGGCAGGCTTGGACGTCAAATTAGCCACCGGGAGCACCTGAGTCCTCAGGGCGCCCCTCAGTAGCCGGGACACAGTGGGCAGAGTCATAGCGACGATTCGGTGCTGGTGGTCCACAGGAGCGGAGGACGGACGGGTCTGCTCGGGTTTGTTCGGCTCTACAGGTCTGCAGCACAGGTGCTGGTAGTGACGCGAGCTGTCAGGCTGCTGCCACTACTACTACGTGCCCGCGCATACGTATCTGCGAAAGTGTTAAAAGCGTGCGCGCGCGCGTGTCAGACACAGACGGGCGGAGGGAGGGAGGGGGGAGTTATTGGCCGTTCCCCCTCCCGATACCAGACACCGAGGAGCGCAGGACGCGTCCTCACTTCACCCCGGTCTGCTGGAGGTGTTGGGGACTCCAGCAGGCCGTCTCAGCTCGGATATTTACTGGAGCGGCTTTCAAGACACTCTGGGAGGCGAACAGGCTGCAGCTCAGCGCAGGAGTCCTCCAATAAACCACACATTTTTAAATAAACCAGGCCCCTTAAAGAACAAAGTCAATATAATAATAATCATCATCATCATCATAATCATAATAATAATCATAATAATCATAACCATAATATAATAATGATATTGATATCAATATAATATACACAAAAGAAATATGTTGAATCATTTTTAAGGTAATTCAGTCATAACAGCTTTGTTATTACAATAGTAAATGTCATTTACATTAAATTTAAAATATTAACAACCTGTTCGTTTACTCACATTCAGATGTGGTGCCTCTACTGTGGATCGACGCCTGTAAATACTAGGTTAGCGTTTATGGCAATTTAGGACTTCATGTATGCTGGAACGTCTGAATCCAGAGATTAAAATGAAGCGTGGGCGGTGCTGTGATACTAACACCGCTTTAAAGCAGCACATACTTCTACAAAAACTATCAGACATATTGAGAGGAAGCTTGTGACCTGCTAGAATCTAATACAGCTGCATCTGTTCAGCTGCTGACTTGTGCTTTAACAAGGCAAAAAAATAATGGCATAAACTTATTAGCACTTGCTTTACTCTTAATGGGAAGGAAAGAAGCCTAGTAAGCCGAAACAATAGTTTCTTTTTCTGTCTTTTATTACAAATGGTGTTGACTGTTCAGGAAACTATTTGGAAATATCCATCCATCCATTATCTATACACCGCTTAATCCTCACTAGGGTCGTGCGGGGCTGGAGTCTATCCCGGCTGACTCAGGTTGAAGGCAGGGGACATCCTGGACAGGTCACCAGTCTATCACAGGGCTACACTTACAGACAGACAACCAAGCACACTCACATTCACACCTACGGACAATTTAGAATCACCAAATAACCTCAACATGTTTTTGGACTGTGGGAGGAAGCTGGAGAACCTGGAGAGAACCTGCATGGGGAGAACATGCAAAGGTCCTCACCAGGACGCAAACTGGCGACCTTCTTGCTATGAGGGAACAGTGTTGGAAACATTACTTCATCATATGTAATCCCTTGTAAAGCTTTCAGTCGCTGTACTTTTCCTGCTGTCTTCTTGGCCTTGCCCTCCTGGTGAGCAGAGCTTCGGTCTCCTCTACAGCTGCAGCACTTGAGCCTATCTCCTCTTTAACTCTTTCTGTATTTATGATTAGCAGCACATATTTCACATCTATGCTTTCATTTGCATTTCACTGCTATGTGTCCATACTTCTGGCATTCAAAGCACCTCAATGACAGGGGAGTACAGGGCCTGACCTTGTAGCTTATATACCCAATATATATTTGAGCCAGTAGTCTTTCCTTTACCAGATTCCAACATTACCGTCAGGCTGTCACATTTCTCAGCTTTTTGAGTTCTCAGGCACCTACCACATTTTATGTATTGTGACTGACCAACATAATTTATGAATATTCCAGAGAAACACTTTGGACTTTGATTATTTGAACTGGATTTCATTCACCAAATGAACAACCTTCTAGACCCACTTCCATTATTAGTTTATGTTCTTTGTTTACATCTCTTGCTGCTTCTATATTTTTGCCATTGGTCATTGTCCTCCGAGTGTGAAGTTACATTTTCATTTAGCTGTCTCATTTTCTTGGGTTTTTGCCTACCACTATTCTTCAGTACAGTGTTCCAACCTTTATCTTTCCATCTACTTAGCTATTTTTTTTCAAGCTCACTTCCTGATCTGTCATCTCCCTCTGCCATCTCCTGTCCATTCACAGCCTGGTTGTCACAAGCCAGTCCTCCCTTGACTCTGCCCCCATTGCTGTCACTGACTGCGCTTTTAATGTTTCTTGAGAACTGTTTAAACAATTTTACACTTGGTGGAGTAATCTGTCAGTCACATGATCTCACACTGACAAAGCTAGCTTTTCTCCAGAGGTGAACAATCTGCTGAATAAAAGACTGAAGGCAGAGTGACTCCATTACAAAGGTGAGATGGATGATTGCAGTGAAGGTCTGAGAGATCATCACTGACAGAGCATCTGCTGCTTCAAACTAAATTGAACCAGCATCATCATTCAGCACAGCACAGAAGGCAAACTGAGCTTGTCAACTATTTGAAAACCTGATGATTTACTGCTTCACAGTTGACTTTTTCATGGGAGCACTGCGCTCAAATGCGCAAAACTTGTTACCTTCAGCAGTCGAATCTAGCAAACCATTTTCTACTTATAATTAGCGTACTCCTCTCATTTACTATCGAAAATACTGAAAATATTCCTATAATCTACATAGCAGGTGACCAAGCTTAAGTTTATTCCAGATGTCTGGCATGTTACAAAAGGCTTAAAAGGACATAAGACTTCCAAACTTCAGTGCAATCTGTAAGGACAATTATGTTTTTCGTTGTGCTGGATCCTTCAGTATACGAAACAATAACAATATTCTACACGAAAAGACCAAAACCAACTGACTTTTGAAGGTACAACACACTGATTTTCAACGGCCTGAGAAAGAAACTGAATTTTGATGTATGTAAAACTTTAAATCTAAAACAATGAAATCTGCAGCAGAGGACTGGCAGCCTGCAGAGTAACTACGATGTGTGGGAGCAAAGGTAAGTAATAATCAAATGTATCACAGTTAACTCTGTGGGTCCAGTTTCACTACTTAATGACTGCATAGGCTTGTCCACTAAATATATAATATTATTATTGTTTTGGACTTCATGTGTATTGGTCCAAATACTTTTAAATCATCAAAATGTGGGGTTCATGAGGTCTATATTTCCCCATACACATTCTTTTTGATGTTGATGTAAACCTGCTCATGATAGAGATGACTCTTGGCTCTTGAATGTAGCTTGTTTTAGTTTATTACAAATGGATTGTGCTTGAAGAACCCAAATGCCTAACTGTCCACAACCACTGTTGTGGGTTCAACACATCAGAGGTTTGAAATGCACTTTAAAGCAAAACACTAAACGTGAACAAGGTAGAAATTGTAGTTAATAAGTATCAAAATGGAACTGACTCCAGTTGATTACTGACATAATGGTAGTTATTTTCTGAAATGTTATTTTTGAATGGGCCTATAGTGTATTATCTTGTTAAAAAATATGTAGCTTTGTACAAATTTCCAGAACGCCAGAAGGGGAAAAACTCATCCTCCATAACATTAGTTTTTGGTCATGTTTTTAGGAATTAAATGTTCACCATTTTGTTTTCTGGGTAACGCATATTAATAAGGACAATGGTTATATGTCAATACAGAGAGGGATTTGGAGATTGCTTCCCTCTGGTTGGGAATAATGATTGCCAATGATGGTTGAGGGCTGACTGAACAGGCTGCTGTGCTGCAGTGTCTGTTATGACCAGAGGGGGGCGCAAACAATCACATGACGAGTCGACGCTGCCGGAAGTGCAGAGAGGAAGCAGCAGCCGGGCTTCCTCCACAGCAGGAGGTGTTCAGGAGCCCGTGTACCTGTCCGTAGCGCTCTCCTATCAAACAGTCTCAACTTATCGCTGGTAAGTCTCCCAGATCACATGGATCCTGGTGCTAATGTCAGCGGCGACATGAGGGAGCAGAGAACCGAGCCCGAACACCGTGGCTTGCTAGCATTAGCCGGACCAGGGTGTTGATGGCAGCAGTCTTAAACTCATTATTGTTCTTTGTATGTCAAACTCTATATCTGTGATACGATTCCACCGCCGTTAGCTTAACTCAAGCTTTTAATGATGTACCAGGTGTTATTAGTCACTGAGCTAGCAGCAGTCCAATATGGGCTAAACTTTGAGATGACCCACTGAGCTGACGGTACCGGCGGTGGCTCGGACCGGAGTGGTGGTTCGGCCCAGCTTTAGGGCTGCGTTCCGTCTCTGGTCGTTTGTGTCCCAGGGCTCGTCGGTGCCGTGGACGGGGCCGGACTCTGGTCGGACCCAGCAGCCCGTGGTGTTGGTGCATGTGAACTAAGTGCTGGATCGGACAGAATTCTGACTGGTCTCGTCCTGCGGCTCTTATTTGAGTCGTAACTTTAGTGATGTTGACCTGCGGCCGGCGGACAGCGTGTCTCTGTGTCTCTGTGTGTCTCCACGTAGGCGGCTGGACGTGACCTTTGACGGTGGATGCTGTTGACTTTTGGGGCTGGTCTCTGTGTGAAGCGTTGTGGCGAAGCTGACACGAACAGGGACTAGTTATCAGACAGACTCCTATTTAGCCCCTTCCAGACATGGGATGTGGAACAGTGCTGGCTTCATCAAGCTGCTAATGTGACAGCATTCAGTTATTAAAGCACCTTTCAGACGTGTCACTTTTCCGGTAGTGTTCCTGACGGCTGCATTCAGATAAACTCACCACATTGTCAGAGAGCGCCTGCAGGCATGATATCTGTCATTCACATGAGACTAGTCAATACACCAAGTGATGTGTTGTGCAAAATAATGCAATCATAGACTAAAACTAAACTGAGAACAGCTGACCAAAGTGTCCAGTTTACCAACAGCCAAGTTCATTTCTGATTTCTCAAACAGTAAAAATTAAAGCTCAGGACATTGGTGATGTCTGAGGTGAACAAAAGTACACAGTATGACCTTCTGTTAGATCCTGATTGGATCTGTTCCCATGTCAGGATAATTGGTCGTTAAACCTAATCAGTGAAGTTACTACTGTTGTTCTGTGTGTAATGCTCACAGCTCTGTCTCTTTGGAGACACTCGTGGATCCTACTGCTGTCTGATGCTGCAGGTTTCTAATAAACTACAAAGAAATATTCTTCAATAGCTGGAAATATAACTGCCATTCTGTGTGACAGTTCACCTGTCTGCTGTGAAGACATGTAGGTCTGCACAGTATGATCCTGATCCAGACTGATCCGCTCTACACGCTCTCTTGACAATAATTTATAAGAATTTACTTTAGTTACCCACGCTGTTGTTCAGTGCGCAAATGTGCACAACTCTCTCTCTGTGGAGACGCACATATGTGCAGTATCCATACAACTGGGACACACTGTTGTAGCACTGAGCCTCAAACTTTGACTGTTGTAATCTGCAGTGCGAAATGAGTCATCATCTGAGTGTACGCTCCTGACGGCCTGAAGTTGTTTACATGAGACACTGTTATATGTGACTTAACTGTATGTTAGATTGCAGGTCAGAATGGTCCTAACAGTGTGCTGTCATTTACATTTGCATACTACAAATTCAACCAGATGTAGTGGGGCATTTGAGTATTTTTAGCAAACTACATTTGACATTCGATGTATTGCGACATACTGATCTGAGTTGGTGCAGAAACAACTTTTGGCCTGTGTGCACATGTAGCTGGAATTTCTCACTTAATATATATTTGAGCTGTTGGGTGAATATTGGACCTGTGGTTATTCTTTCCATTGCCTCAAACAAGCGTTACCACTCACACACAAGGGTTCTGGTTGAAATTTAAACTACTGAACATATTAAAGAACCTCCTTATAATGTCAATTGACGATCTCCTGAATAAAATGGAAACAGGCCTGTACAAGAGGCAGAATTGGTGATTCTTGTCTGGTTCGAGTAAGACAGCACTCAGTACCTGCTCCAGTGACAGGCTGCCTGTTTCTGTAACATGAGTAAACATTGTGAGCATAGGTTCAGTTTAAGAGTAAACGCCTTGAGGAATTCTGTAGGGAATCTGTCATGGTCAGGTCATTATCATATTTTTTTTAAAAGATACTGTTTGGGGATTTTCTGCCTTTAATGTATAGGACAGCAAAGAGTGACAGAGAAACGTGGGGAGAATAGTGGGAAGGGACATGCAGTTAATGAGCCACTGGCTGAATCCAACCTCGGCCGCTGCGTTGGGGACTATAGCCCCTGTACATGGGTCGCCTGCCTAACCTGTTGAGCTATCCGGGTGCCCTCAGGTGATTTTAGTAAGGGAGGTTAAGTTAAGGCCTGTGTCGCCTCCTTTTTTTTTTATAATACTGCCCTCTAGTGTCTCCTAAATGATGATACTGCTGCCTCTAGAGTACCAACTGACATTGTTCTGACACTAGATGGTGGTCAGTCCTTACATTTGTTCTGTGGTGGACGTAGTCCTCCCCGATACCTGTAAAAAGCCTTGAACCATGTTGTTTACATTTTACATCTTATAGTGAAAAACTGAATGCAGTTGTGGTTATCATGTTGGTTCAGCAAATCCTGGGATGACTTTAAGAAAGCTGCCTTTCAAGCCTACGACTATGTAGTCTGAATAATTCAAAGAATTTTACAAACGCCTTGTCGCCTCCAGTAGACTTTGGTTTTACCCAAATGATCAATGACATTGTTTCTGATTGAAAAATACATTTAAAAGAGAAAATTTAGACTTTGTCAGCTTTAATTAAGGCAATTGTGTTTCCTATTCAATATATGAAAAATTTAAATAATTAAAAGACTGCTATTGTTTTACTGTTTTTTTTTTTTTGTTTTTTACATTGCTTATAAAAAGTGTTCATTCATTTGTACATTTTCATTTTTATTTCCTTTATGTATTATTTGACCTTTTGAATGACATTGAATGTAATGGGGCTTGCTTGATAGATGAATAGAAATAGTGTGTTAGGATCAAAAGAAAAGAAATGTCTCCAGATTGATTTGGATGTTACTTTTTTTAATGACATTTAGAAAAAAACAACAATCACCTCTTTACAAGGTCCAAGACTATATTATCAAGCAAACTATATAATTAAATATTGTAAGCCTGTACATGAACTACTGTCATTGTTGTTTTGCATATAGTAGCCTATCAATCAAATATCCAGTTTCACTGTTTACTTACTAAATTGCACAGCTGTCTAGAAGATAGAAAATGAAAGATTATGTAACAAAATAGTATTTTTGCCATATCTTTAATGGCTGCTGTTGACAGTTGCTTTTGTCGATGTCTTGTGTAGGTCCAGAAAGCGGATGCTGACTTTACGTCCTCTTCAGTTCCATCCTCCAGTTCAGCTGAGCCTCAACTTCTTGTGTGTGCAAGCTAATAGTGTGTCAACGTGACTGTACCTGTTGAGTGTGTGTTTCTGTGTGTGAGTGTGCGTGCGTGTGTGTGTGTGTGTGTATGTAATTTCATTGAAGTCCTATGTGAGTCTGTAAGGTATTGTATGTCAGTGTGTATGTCTGTCTCATTCCCTCCCAGCCCACCATGTCCCTGTATACCTCTATACTCCAGCTGAGTCCATCAGTGTGTCTTCACCTCCTCTACCTGCTGATGCTCCTGGCTGATTCTTGCTCCACAGCATCTAAACAGGAAAGAACTGTCACGGACAGTCCCCTAACCCAACTTAACACAACACAAGCTGACTGCGTCACTGGATGTGAGTACGTTGTTCCAGAATTCACTTTTAAAGTAGCAGTGACTGCATTATCACAGCAGAAAACATGTCATCAAATCCTTTTTAAATATGTACATAAGTATTTTAGCTATGCAGAAATATACAGTAGCTGTTTTTTTTTTTATTCGACTGCAAAAGGTGGTAACTGAAAATGTTTATCTCTGAAGTATTTTCTGAATTTAAACTGCACTGATGCAAGGAGTTAAGAATGCCATCCTGCATGCTTTATGGTGTTTGAGCGTATAGTTCAGTGTTGAATTGCACAAGTTTATGTCACTTGATCAGGTTGCACTGCGCTTTCTTGTCTCCACCTTATCTGCAGTACAAGTGATAGTAGGAAGGGCTGCCTTGATTTCATTACTGAACAGTGTTTTATTACAGCAGTATATCCCTTTCACGCATGAATTCTGAAAAAAAAAATGTTAAAAAATTGACAATTTGTTGCAGATTTTTTTTGTACTGCTGAATCAGATTTTAAACATGTTGAAATGCACAGTTGTCCACTGTAATGCCCTTACATGGCGAAACACTACAGGTGAATAGGACAAAATAATTTGATTCAACAAGGTGCTGGAAGCCGACCTTAGAGATTTTGGTCCATATAGACAGGACTGCATCACATTTGTATTCTGCACATCCATGATGCAAATCTCCCGTTCCACCACATCCCAAAGGCGCTTGATTGGACTGACATCTGGTGACTGTGGAGGCCATTGGAGAACAGTAAACTCATCGTCATGTTTAAGATACCAGTTTGAGAGGATTTCAGCTTTGTGACATGATGTGTCATCAAGCTGGAAGTAGGAATCAGAAGATGGATACACTTTGGTCATAATGGAATGGACATGGTCAGCAACGATACTTGGGTAGGCTGTGGCGTTTCAGGGATGGTCAATTGTAGGGATGTGTATCGTTAAGATTTTAATGGTAAAACTACTTTTACTGATACTGCTTATCGTCCAGCATTATATCAGAATTAAAAGCTGCTCCTTGAACAGGTATTAAGTAAATGTCAGGACATTGTGCTGATAGGACTTTGACAGTATTGTTACTGTGTGATTTTAATAGTTTAGTGGAGAAAACACGAAAAGTACTTCTACTACTAACGCCATCATTTAGTCAGAGAAACAGTGAATATGAAGTAAGACAGTAAGACAGACGGCTTGTCTGCAGCATCCAAATCACTAAATACTGCTGCTCTGTGCTCTGATAGTGAAACTGAACAGTTTAGGTGATGCTCTGAATTTCAGCCTGAATTTATAAACTCAGCCACAGTTAAACAAATGGCTGGAGATTACTTAATTTACTCATCAACCCATATTTGTATAATTTAGTTAGCTCTGTGTGCTGGCTGGTAGCAAACACAACATACCTGGTTAGTGAGAGATGAACTACGAACATTTCTTTATCTATACATATTGAACTTTAACTGAATGTTTGCGGTTACGTAATGGTTTCCATTTGCCGGTGGGAGTTCAAGGAGTTAATAGCTGTTCTAACTCTCTGCTATGATGCCTACTGGTAGTTCAACCCCTTCAGTGGTGATCATCTTGCCTCGCTTTGATATCATCCGACTGCACTTATCCAGTCCTTATGACATCCCCATGTCACTGCTGTAGATCCTGGTGATGTGGATCAGTGAGTCAATGTCTTGGTCATTTCTGGCATACAGCTTGATATGATCCATGTGGAGAAGGTGGCTAATAGTTGTTCCATTTCAGGACTGGTAAAGCCTCTCGTTTTGAAGATCTGACTTAGGGTGTTCAAGCCTATGCAGAACAGCAGGGCGGACAGAGTATCTCCTCGGTATATGCCACACGTGATGCTAACCTGTGCAGTTGACTTTGAGTTGGCCTCTAGTGTTGTTTTCCACAGTCCTACTGAGTTCTTGATGAAGACTCTTAGTGTCCTGTTCGTGTTGTACTGCTCAAAGCACTCCAGTATGTATGTGTGTGGCATTGAGTCGTAAGCTTTTTTATGGTCAATTCAGGCAGTACACAGATTGGTGTTCCTGGTCTTACAATCTTGACCAACTGCTCTGTCAACCAGAAGCTGGTGTTTGTTTCCCCTGGTGTTACCAAGTCCTTCTGGGCCCTGCTTATGTATTGAGCCACGTGCCTACTCATCCTCTCGCTATGACGCCTGACAGGAACTTCCATGTTGTGCAGAGGTTGTGCAGAGGCAGGTTATTGGCCGATAGTTGGATGAAAGTGCTCCTGTCTGGGGATCCTTCATTATCAGGACTGTCCGGTCTTGGGTTCACCACTCTGGGTGGGTCCTATCCATTAGTAGCTGGTTCATTTGTGCTGCTACGCGTCCATCATGTTGGGGGCCAGGTGCTGTCTAGCTCTTCATTCTTGACACTATTACTTGGATGTCAGCTATTGTGATGGTCACAGGGTCTTGTTCTGGAGATTGCTGCGGTATGCTCCAATGGACCATTGATGTTATGCAATGCCCCATTCTCCCATATACCTTTCCAGTACTGTTCAGTCTCAGCCCTGGGTAGGTCTGTTCTCATCTTATTACTCTCCCACAGACAGTAATCTTTGGATGGTTCGGTGAAGAACATCCTGTTTATTCTTCCAGCTTCTACTGCTCCAGTGTACCTCTTCAGACATGACTATGAACCTTTATTTGGCAGTCTCCAGTGCTTCAGGAATGGGCAACTTGTATTTCCTAGGGAGTCCTTTCTTCATCTGACCTTTCTGTAGTTCGGATAGCTGGCTGCCTTTCCTCCTTGTTGCTGATGTTGATGATTTTGGCATCCATGGCAGATTCTGTTTCTTATGGCTTATGGTGTTCACCTTGTAGCCAACCTCAAGAAGTCTCTAGACTTACTGTTCCTGTTGCATGGATCAGCCTATTGCTCTCAGTGATGGTCACGGTAGGGATATTTAGTAAAACTGCATTGACATCGTGTAGCAGACTTTTGGTAGGTACTTTTTTACTTACCCATGGCAAATGGTAACTACAGGTATTGAGCTTAATTGTGATCTTAAATCTTAGGGCAGCTGCCCTTGTGTTAATGATGATATTTTCCCCCTTGACCTATGACACTGGCTCCTCCTTGCTGTAGTATCTTTGTTGCACCTCATCAATCTCTAGTTGTGGTAGCAGTTTGCATTGGAACACTGAGCTACAAGTTGTTTATTTGTTAGCTTTGATGTTGGGTTTCGAAATATCAATAGGTCTCATATTTTCTCCATATATCCCCTATCACTTTGATTGTAGCATTCCAACAGTTCCACATTCCCTCCCCTACTCCATAAATGTCTTTTTTCCAGTAGCCCACTTTTCATGAGGTTCCCCTTGTTCCCTTGTACCGGTGTGGAGATAAAACTGTTGTGTACAAATACAGTTGTGAAAACCGTGTATATTATGGCAGTCTTGTGTTTCTAATGACTCCCATGACTCGCAATTTTTGGTGATTGAATCATTAAAGCGCATGTGGTTTTGTCACAAACAACAATCATGCATTTTGGTTCTTTCATAGATTTATAGATTCTATTTTATTCTATTTTATTCATAGTTTTTGGAAACATGAAAAAACCTGCTGGGTCAAGAATATACATACAACAGTGCTAATAATTAAAATGTCAAATGTCCTTTAGCAGTTTTCCCCTCAACTAAACTGTACACAATCTTCTGGCAAGCTTCTGGTTGTATGTCTGTCCACTCCTCAACTCTACTCAAAATTGGTGCAGTTCAACTAATTTTATTGGCTTTCTGAAACAGACTTTTTTTTCATCACAGTCCGCAGGTTCTTGATGTGGTCTAAGTCAGGACTTTGGGGAGGTCAATCTAAAGCCTATTTTTAAAAAACTATTTCTTTACCATTTTTGATGTGTGTTTTGGGTTCCCATTCACCCATTCAACCACACATGCATACACCAATGGTGACAGAGCTGCCATGCAAGGTGCTGCCTTGGCACCACTTTCAATAAGTTAAAAGGCCTAGCCACTGAGGAAAATTTGGTTAACACAGGTTTCTACATCACAACTGATCATTCAAGTTGCTGAATGTATATTTTTGACCCAGCAAAAAAAAAGCTTTTGTGTCTTTTTGTACAGTGGATGTAAACTTCTTGTTTCAACTTTACATAAATGTATATTTTTCCAGTTCCTACCATCCCCACCCAGTGGGTCTGTCCACAAATTCTCCCATGAGGACAAATGAAGTGTATCCTGATCTTGAAGTGGACACTACCTGCTATTTTACAGCATTACAAGTGGATAAACTTATAGTGTGCAGTTATTGGGAATAAAATAAAAAATATATGTATTTGTTTTGTCAATGACACTGATGGAGAGTTAAGAATTTATTGTCATTTGATTTGATTTGATAATTTTAACTGGTGTTTTTCCTCCTTATTTCTGAACTGACTCATTCATGGACTTTTTTTTTCTCCACAGGTGATGGTGATGGTTCTGTCATTAAAAATGCAACAGCTGAGGATTTCTCCAAGAACAGTTCAAGAGTTGTGGCAACAAACCCACCACAGAAGAATGTGTCCTATATCTCAGACCTTAATAACACTGGACCAATCTTCAACCAGTCTTCAGTTCCTGTCAGCACGACCAACTCCACTGTTGTGGGGAAGGATGATAAAACTGTTTTGAACGTGAACACAGAAGGCACCCAGCAGATTCAGTCTTCTCCCAACTCATCTTCATCCAATAACCACACCACTGTCAGCCACAAATTGAGTTACCCTGTTGCGTCCTTAATCCCGCCCAAACAGTCAGCAGGAGAACTCAATTCTTCCACAGCCTCACCAGCCAGTCAGCATCCAGTATTGCCTGACCATCAGCCTACATCACCAGAGACAGTCACCTCACCTGAATCTACTCTTCCTTCTACCACCATAGGCTCACCCACTCAGTCCACAAATCCTGGCTCCATCACCAGCACTGGTAGAGCTACAGCTACTACTGCAGAGACTGTTGGGAATGTACACACAAACACTGTACCAGTGACTTCAACAACCACAAGAACACCACAATCTACAAGAACAACCGCAACTACACCAACAGATCGAACAACAACAGAAGCATCACACCCTCCAGCAACGGTAACAAAAACGGCTAACACAACCATTATTGCAACCACATCTACAAAAATGTCGCCATCATCATTAGCTCCCACGCCAAAGCTAACTACTGGGATGCCATCGGTTCAAAAGACTTCTTCAACCACAGGACCTGCTGCCATAACTGTTCCCAATGCCATCACTCCTGCCAGTCACAACAAGTCTTTTGCCTCCTCGACGGGTGTTGCTGTGGTAGAGGTTGAAGGGGCTGCGCTGACCAGGCAGTTGGTGGATACCGCGTCTTTATTGGCCGTCCTGCTTTTTGGCATGCTCTTTTTCTTGGTCACGGTGGCGGTATTTGCCACACAGGCCTACGAGAGCTACAGGAGGAAGGACTACACGCAGGTCGACTATCTGATCAATGGCATGTACACGGACTCGGGGGTGTGAGAGAGGACGAGGCTAAGCACAACTCATGGAGCTTGCTTTTGCACTTGGAATCAGAGAGTCTAAGAATGAAAGACAAACCGAATGGTGGCACAGTGCTGATAGTTCGGGATGAAGTAGGAATGGACCAATCTGACCAATGGCCCACTAAACCGACCCTAAAACAGTCTGATTTTGGTTTTATCATAACATCTCCACTTGTAGTTCTTTCAGGCTTCCTTCTTTAATGATTTGAGAATGTAAAGCGTTTACTCTCTTCCATTTTGGCCAAACATTAAGCTTGGTATTCGCCCATGACATAATCTTCTCCACGCAGTTGGTCAGTCCAGCAGTGGTTAGTCCACTATCCAGTACCAATCAGGATGCTTCCACATCTCAGCAGGTGTTCTACCTTTATTAGTTTCTTGTCGCGCTGATTATTATTATTTTTATTTTTTATTTTTTGTCGTCTTCCCTCCCCTTAAAGATGAATGTCACTGCTGTCACTTTTTCAAAAAGTCGAGTTTGAATAAAGTCGAACACATTTCAATTCATTTGAATGCCATTCCATACAACATATTACATTTTTTTCCCCCCACATTCAAACAAGTGTTTGAATTTTGAATTAGTGACAGCCCAACTACGGACCAAAGCATATTGTAAACATCGTGTACAAGATTTAAATTTTGTGGTGATTACCTCATTACTTTTTTTTGTCCCATTAAAAGACGGTTAACATAAACTATAATGGCATACACTTGTAGCTCTACACTTGCAACTATTTCCACATGGAAAATGTAATAATTTACTTGAAATCTGGTTTTGCACATTTCAATAATTTTGTCAAATGTAGTTTATAACAGTGGAACACAGTTAATTGCAATGAACTTCAATCTGATCAGTTAAGCCATTCTATATATAATTTTGCAGGCATTTACTATATTCTCTCATTTATAGGCGCAGCCCGACATGTGTCCATTTCCACCTCTATCAAATATTTACTGTTGCTGCTGTTGTCAGTCATTCGGATAAAACAAATCTGTCATTTTGTCCTAATACCCGTCCACAAACTGCTGTTTTTGCAAGTGATCATCACTCAGTCAGGTCTCCTGGAATTTAGCAAGGTTAACACTAAGCTTCGCCGAATTCTGTGGAGTCTGTAGTACGAAGAAATGCTTTATTGTGAAACCAGTACATTTTGGCTTGGTGCCTTCATTGTGGTCAAATGAGAGATCTCAAGTCTGCGGACTCTTAGTTTGACCTCAGATGCTGGCTTGTTTACAGTCTAAGTGAGGACGTTACTTTGCTGATTAAAGTAAAATTTTAACTCGTAGAAAAGATGGCTAAAACTGCAAAAATATGATGCAAGTTGGATCACATTACTACAGCTGAACAATCACTTAAATGTAGCTGTCGTATCAAATACCAGTCTAGTCAGTAGTGGTAGGGTGTTAAAGATCTGACCAGAGTGGGACAGCTAAACCGGAACCAGCCTCTTCCATACTTTCGTAAACAACCAGGTAGAAAAACTTCAGTCATCCATAGATGTGTTGGAGCTTTCTCAGAAAGACATTTGAATGTTTTACACAGGTACTCCTACCAGCTAACTACAGTGGGAGACAAGTTTTCCCAGGTGTGGCCTTGTGTGTTGAAGCCTGATGTGGATGCATCAGTGCTGTGTCCAGTTTAGTCAGCAGGCCAGAGAGAGACCACTGTATCGTCTTATTCAAGCTGTTCAGCTGATTTTTTATTTTGTTCTCAGTTGGTCGATTTTTTTCTGTGTGCATGTGATGGGCAGCAGAGGCCTTGTTCACTCAGCCTGTTTGAAGGACGCAAACTGCCTTCTGCAATTTATTTTTTCCCAGTTACATTAATTTGGACTTCCTTCATTAGCTTGAATATAATTTCAAAGGTTTCACATCAACAGTGTGATCTCAGTCCTGCCTGTGATAAAAGCGCCTGTGGATCCCTCAAGATTCTGCTGCTGCACATGCAGTACATATACATATATATATATATATATATGTCGCTGCTCGAAATAGGGACGAAATGATGTTTTGTTTTTGTTTTTTTCATTTTTGGAGGGGAAGTTTATACTCGCATGAATTGACTAAAAACGAAGTGGGCACAACATTTCTTTTGTTGCTTTTGTTTAACAGACATGTTTTCAGTGCTTTAAAGGCTCTTACCAGACATCTCTTTACAATATCAGACGAAACAAATAAGCACATCTTCTCATTTCACTGTGGTTAAAGGCAAATAATATTTAGAAAAAGCTCGATATATTTTTGTTAATCTTCACTTAAATACCTTAAACGACATTCCATTAGCTTTCTTTGACGCTCATGATGCTTTAACTGGGGTTTAGAGTTTCTTTATACTTTGCACTGTCTTCCAATGAGTTATGGGAACAAGGCCATGCTAGATAGTTTATTTTCTTTAAGTTTTATATTTTTTGCTTATGGTGAATGTATGTTTTTGAACACTTAGTTAGCTTGAATATATGTATTGCCCATAATTCCCTACACAGATTCTTCATTTAGCTTCATGTGCACGTCACTGTGTAAGACGTCATGCTGTGTTAACATGAATGTGAATGTTAAGCCATTCATTACCTTACTGTCAGTACATTTCAGAGATACCTTCCTATTCCTGGAAACATACACTTTACATTCAGCAAAGACATTTCTTTTTTATGACTTTCCTAATAATTATCCTGTTTGTGATGATGACAAGTTACCAGTGCTTTTTTTTGTTGCTGGATGCATGAGACAGACTATGAGAAGAATCTTTTTTAACCTCATAATTTGTGAGGCAGAAGTCAAAACGGTATAAGTGTACCATGAAAATACACAGATGTGAAATCCATCTTTTTAGTTGCAGTAACTTTGCAGCTGAGGAAGATTCTAAAAATTCCTCCGTTTGGGCTGGTTATTGTGCAAAGGTTATGAACTACTTCTTGCCAAATGAGGAACACACACTTTGTAAGTGTGCGATCTCTTGGTTAATAACAAGATGAGGAGTATTGACTGATGCCCTACTAGGCCACTAGCAAAAAATCGTTTTCAACCTCCAGTCCTGGTGCAAAATAGTTCTGTGTTTTTTCTGTGCATTGGGAACAAAAACACGAGACAAACCCTAAAAGTCAGTATTCATGCAATAGACTTGTGCGCAGGTTGTATTTGTTTTCTTCTGAGGGTTTCATGGTTCATGGAAATTTGCTAAATGTTCACTAAAGCACATTATTGTTTGACAAAGCCAAGGGAAACACAAAGCCATTATACTTGTGGCCTATGGAAAGGACAACATGAACTGTATTCCACAGCGGGAAAAAGAACATTTATTGGTGAATCTGAAAAGGTACACAAGAAGATATTTTCAAATTTTAAAAAAAGTGTTTTTGACATATTGTGTATTCCTGCAGGATGTAAAATACATTTGAACCTGTCAATTGTCTGTGAAATGTCCACGTCTTTACAGTTGATGTCTAATTGATTAGTGTCTCCTCCAGAATTTTCAAAGGAGAAAATCCTCTAAAAGAGTGTGTGAAAAATATCTGGTTTTACAAATGTGCTAAAAGTTCAGATTGTTTACAAGAACACAAGAGAGGAGATCAGGATGGAAATGGTGATTTATTTTTGAAGTATTTTTACATTTTTGTTCAAGAAAATGAAGCTTCTATCACGTTGAGAAAATGAGATCTTGTTAAGGTGAGAAAACAAGCTCACTGATGATTGGAAAACATCAATAGAACAAGGCCTTATTCCTGTGACATTTTTAAAAAAGTGTCTCTTGCCATTTATCTTGAACAATTAGGGTTTGGTTTGTCTGTCCTGGTAAATAAGGTATTTTTTTCCATGAGTCTCAAAAATGTTCATCTGCTTGGTTATTATTTCTAACTCATTAACTGTAACCATGGCCACTCTCAGCATCCATACAGGAGTGTTATATTTTTATGTTTGGTTTATTTGTTTTCTCGCCATCACAAAAAACATTTCATGTCAGCGTCACACAAACTATCTCCAAACTGATTAACATTCAGCATTGTGATATTGGACAAGCATATGATGTCTGTCTTGAAAAGCATTTGGGTTATCTTCAGATTACAAAAAAATATTCGTTGACCATTAGAAACAAAATTTTCCTTCGCCTTCTGTTATTGACGTAATGTCTTCAGGGATGACCCAAATTTCTCTTGTGGCAGGTAAAATGTAGAATATACTGTATTAAAATGTCTTGGATGATGTCACTGTGTCCAGTAAGCTAAGTGAGGCATTTTCAAATGATCTTGGTTTTTGGATGTCAATATAATTCTAGTTTCCAGGATCCTGGAAACAACACTGCTGGGCTGTGTTAAAGGTGGATTTGTGTGTTCAATGACTGATGTGCAGGAGGTGACACCTGCCATGTGCCAACTTAATATTGTACTAATGCACTTTGAACAGATATTTTTACTTTGCAGAAAATAAAAAAAACAAAAAATAACTAAATCGATCTTGTTGGTGTTTCAATAAATGTGTTTCGTCTGTTCTTATGTTTGATTTTTACCTATGAGCTGTAGTCATCCCACATGAAGAGAGCAGTCAGTAATCAAAGTTGCAGCGCAGAGTGACGCCAGCCATTTAGTTTGCGTGCACAGCAACACAAGTTTGACTTGGCTTCGGTACTATGTGTTTGTCAAAGGTGAAATATTTTTATTTGTGTAGTTTTCTAAGCCGCTCTCATTAATCAGACTGCAAAATGCACAATAATAAAGTTAACATGCGTGTAAAACTGGTTCCTGCAGAAGCTTTGGCAAGAGAGGGGAGTGCTTTGGTTGTGGGATACAATTTTTTTTCCTGCAATGGTACCTCAGTAATAGTTCCAATACCCATTGTAGAATAAAATGCTCCCATCTGGATTGTTACAGGGCTGTACCTTTCCTCTTTTTCTAAGTAGTCCATCCACTACAAATCAAACATTCATACCAGAGTGCTCTAGTGTTTCAACCCTGGGTTTACATTCATTTCAGTTTTACATACGACACACCGAGTTAGTTCATCACAGTCAACCTTATAACTTTATTGATGTCAAGATTATATTACTAATTTACTAGTTTTAAGTATTTTTGAGCTCAAAAAGCACCATGGAGCTGTTTCTGTGTCTATTTAATGTGCATGGTGTTCTGCCAATGTGGTCTCAGTGTTCCACTGATCAGCATGTGAAAGCAACATGCCAATGTAGTGTGCTAGCAAACACACAGGAGAATACTGGCTGCAAGTAAACATGGAGTAAAATGTCCTGGATTTAAAATGCTTAATAACTTGGTTTTGAAAATATCAAATAAGTAAAGAAATCCACTGGACACACTAAGGAAACAACTAAAAACATTTTCAGAGGAAACAATACTGTTCATGCTGTTTGATATGTCCTGCACTACAAATAGACCCACAGGAGCAGCTATGATGGATAGTGGAATTTTAAAAAAAAGGTCTCCAACTCTCCAATCGTTGTTGAGTCACTGATTGCTATGGGGCTTCCTGCCTGTCTAGGGAAGGAGAAGAGAACACCTTTGTGGTGGGATTTTAAACTGAATAAATGATGAAAAACTGGAAAAATTATGATTAAATTAGACTCATGTACAAGGTGGATTAATCCTGTGCAAGCCTATGTAAAACACAGCCCATAAAACTTGGATAATATAGTCACGGGACTTGAAA